TCTTAATTTACCAGTCATCCTTCAGAGGCTGTGGAGGGGCGAAAACTGGTTCCAGGACCCACCCCCAACCAGGACAGTAAGAATTCAAGCAAAGCTGGGGATGGTGGTACATGCCTTTAATCTCAGCACTCAAGAGGCAGACAGACATCTGTGAGATCAGGGCCAGCCTCATCTCCACAGCAAGTTAAGTTCCAGGCCTGCTGGGACTACAGGGAGACCCTGTCTTAAAAAAAAAAAACAAAAAAACAAAAAACAAGAATTCAAGCACTTGGGGGCCACAGAAATGATTGAGCAGTTAGCACCTGCTGCTCTTGGAGAGGACCTGGGCTTGGTTCCCAATACAGAAGATACTAACTCTAATTCCAGATGTTCCAATGCCCTCTTCTGGCCTCCATGGGTACCACATACACGCAACACACCCATATATGTGAAGCACTCACACAAAATTAAAAAAATAAACCTAAAACCGGGCATTGTGGCACATGCCTTTAATCCAGCACTTGGGAGGCAGAGGCAGGCAGTACCTACTGTATACTTAATGCAACAATTGAGAATAGGGACTAAGAAAACTTAACATAGGTCAATATTCTTTTGAGGGGAGATTGATCAGAATCGTAACCTCATTTTACATTTATTTGAGGGAGAGCCATGTGGTTACAGGGTTTTCTCCTTCCACCTCCTTAGCCCTTACACTTTAATCTTCCTGCAAATAAAATTACATAAACCTTTTTTATGGCATCTCCTTTTTCCAGCATACCATGCCTTCCTCAACAAGATACAGGCTATTCCAATTGTCTATGTACCAACTATAGGAACATGTCAGACAGGTAAAGAACCGCTATCACCATCTTTTAGAACCAGACATACAGTTTTTAATTTACTCAACTTTTCACTATCTTCCTTCCACCCTTTTCCTCTAGGTTATAGTACATCTTCTCCCCCTCAGTTCCCAAGTCCACACCACCACTACAGAGCTGGCTACAACACTGGTTATGGAGCATAAAGCACTAATCTAAAGGTGGAAAAGTCTCCCTTAATTGTAGCAAAGCTACACTACATCTCCAAAATAAAGATTCTGCAAACTATAATAAAGGACCTTAGGCTGGTTAATTTAAAAGTAGTGTGTTCTGGTTGTTCTTGCATAAGACCCGGGTTCAAATCCCAGTACCCACATGGCAGCAAACAACTATCCGTAACTCCAGTTCCAGGGGATCACGACACCGGTACACTTACCTACGTGCAGGCAATACACTCATACACATAAAATTAAAAAATTTTTTTAAAGTACTGTTATAAATATGTAGCTCAACCAAGAGTGCTTGCCCAGCATGCATGAAGCCCTGGGTTTCCACCGAGTATGAGTACCATATAAACTAGGTACAGTAACCCACACCTATAATGGCATTCCTTGGGCAGGAGAATCAGAAGTTCAAGGTTATCCTCAGCTACATTGACTTGAAGCCATCTAAAAAATAAACAGAAGTTGGGCCTGGTGGCACCTTTAGTCCTGGTCTACATAGTAAATGCCAGACCAGCTGGGGCTACAGGGAGACCCTGTTTCAAAAAGACTAAAAAATAAATAAAGCCAGTAATTCTTCCAGGCCTGAAACTGGCAGGTAGATAAGGCTGGCCTGAGCTTCGATCTACCTGCCTCAGCCTAGAGTGCTAGGAACCATGCCTGGCTCCAAAACAGTTCTTAAGATAACAGAAAATGCCCATTTATATAGCATCCTGGTTTTAAAACAAAGAACCTAGATAGAAATGCCTCAAATATGACTTTTGGGTACTTGCCCACTTATTTGTCCCCAAAGGACCTAGTATTCCACTCTTCTGGTTGCCTGCCCTTCAATACTTGAAGAACCAGAACTTCCTATTAGTTAAACAAGACAATAAACACTATATATCCAAAATGTGTTTATTGGGATGCTTTCTCACTCATCTTGATTCAGGGTACTTTTAGTGCTGCTTCCTCCTGAAGGAACATCCTGGAAGAAAAAGGTTCAAAGGTTACCTGACATCAGCCAGTCTACCTGGCATTGCCCCATGATTCATCCATCCACAGAAAGCTAAATCTCTGTTCTCAACTCTTATTAGCTACTTTCTGCTTACACACACACATAACCTCCTATTACCACTTTCAATTAGCTTTGGCCAATTGGAACACCATTCATAAAGCCCCTCCACCTCAACTTTAAGTAACAACACTCCAAGATCAATACCACATCTGGTAATACCTCCTTCCTCTAACAGTGGAATACAACTGTTTACTAATCTGGTAGTTTACATCATACATGATCCATAAGATCCAAAGGCCCAACAATAAGACCATATACCTTCTGTAAGCCGAGCTTTTCCGCCTGTAGGCTGACAGAGGACAGTGGAGCAGCCAACACACAAGACTACCGTTTGTGCATGGCTAAAGACCGTGGTGATTTTATAGCATCCTGAAAAAGAAAAAGTGTCAACTTCCTTCACTTTACCAAGATACTATCCACCGCCCCCTTACTGCTTCCTAATAAAAAAACTGTAGCATCTCTACATCACTCCACGACGTTAAAAAAAAAAAAAAAAATTCACTAGTCTCATCCTTTCGAATTCTAAGAAGGTCAGGACACTGAAACTGCAGTTACTTCAAGAACAAAAACGCTACAAAACTGCAGTATTAATTTTCCCGACTGCTGAGAAACAATGCTTTCCCCACACAGGTTCAAACCTCTTCCTCACCTGGGCATTTCACATCCATGAAGTAGGAATTGGGACTCTGCACCAGGCGCTTCTTCTTGTGTTTCCGCTTCTCCTCTTCTGGAGAGGGATGAAGGAGATCCTTTGCGAGCTAAGAGGATTAGAAATGCAGAGATTTAGAATCTAACGGTGAAGGGGCTGTTGGAGGCCAGCCCCAGGGGCACACACTGGGGAGAACTCGCCCCTCGCCACCCCTGGTGCTGCGTAGCTGGGACGCCATCTTATCTCCTCCGCTCCGGTCTACGCGGCTGGCCAGGGGGCCGCTGCGATGCCTGGAGTTAAGTCCTAAGAAGAAATGCGGAATATAAAGGACGACCCTCTACGATCCGAATCTGCGAGGAGGGCACTGTACGGACGAACAGCGAGAGCTCAGCTGAAACGCGGGCAGAGGGACTCACAGGCATGTTCTCGTAGGGAGGTCGTCACCGCCGGAAAGGAGTGAAAGGGGAAATCCTGTTCATTATATCCGGAATTCTACAGGAAGTGACGAGAAGGCGGTGTGGCGCCATCTTGGGAAGGTCCTGGTCTCGGTTCGAAAGCAATGGAAGGCGACGGGGACCGCCATTTGCGGAAGTTCTCTGAAGCATACTCCTGTCTCAGAGATAATGTTCCAATGAAAGATATATACTAGCTTGAGTACCAGAGAGATAAGCAAGAATAACACACTTCTTGGAATTAAACACCCAGATCCAAGAAAAAATACAATGAAAAGACAAAGAATTTATGAACTTTTATCAGAATAAGTCATAAAAACATGGGGGCTGGAGAGATGGTTCAGTGGTTAAGATCACTGTTCTTACAGAAGACCTGGGTTCGAATCCCAGCACCCACATGGCAGCTAACAACTGTCTATAACTCCAGTTCCAGGGGATCCAGCAGCCCCTTCTGTCCTCCACAGGCATTGCAGGACACGGGTGCACTTACCTACAGGCAGGCAATACATGCATACACATAAAATAAAAATAACAATAAAGAATAATTCATAAAAACAAGAAGTGAGAGTAGGGACTGAACTGGCACAGTGGTTCATGACTATAGTTCCAGCTACTGGAGAGGCAGAGTCTAGATGACCTCTTGAGCCCATAAATTTGGGTCTGGCCTAGGCAATAGAGGGATCCTTCTGCAAAATAAATAGGAGCCAGGGGTGGCACACACCTTTAATTCCAGCATTTGAGAGGCAGATGAATTTTTGTCAGATCAAGGCCAGCCTGGTCTACATAGGGAGTTCCAGGTCAACTGGGACAATAGAGAAACCCTGTCCATAAATAAATAACAAATTAGCAAATTAAATAAATAAGGCTAGTGAGATGGCTTTGAGGTAGTATGATCCCCGAAACCCCCATGGTGGAAGAAAGGATCCAAACCCACAGAATGTACTCTGACCTCCAAACTCACTATAGTATGTGCATGCCCACACAAGTGCACATGTGCAAACAAATGAGTGAATGAATAAGAGAAATGGAGTAGTTCTGTGTGGCAGTTAATGCAGGTTTTCAACCTGACAGGATCTAGAACCGCCTAGGAGTCCAAGCTCTGGTCTGTGAGGAAGTTTCTGGATTGGGTCAATTGAGGAAGGAAGATCCACTTTAACTGTGGGTGACACTACTCCATGTTGAGGTGCCAGGATGAATAGAAAGGAGAAAAGGAAAATACCAGCATTCATCTCCTCTGCCTCCTGTCTGCGAATGCAGTGATCAGATGCCTCAAGCTCCTGTCACAATGGACTGTGCTAACAGTGACCAAAACAAACGCTGTCTTGTTTTTGTCAGGTATTTTGTTGCAGCAATGAAAAACGCACCTAAACATTGTATTTGGGAAGGAATAAATGTAGACACAGAACATGACAAAGATAAATGAAATAAGCCGGGCGTGGTGGCACACGCCTGTAGTCCCAGCACTTGGGAGGCAGAGGCAGGGGGATCTCTGTGAGTTCAAGGCCAGCCTGGACTACACAGCAAGTTCCAGGCCAGCTGGGGCTACAGGAAGACCCTAGTCTCAAAAATAAAAATAAATAACCAGGCGTGGTGGCGCATGCCTGCAGTCCCAGCACTCGGGAGGCAGAGGCAGGCAGATCTCTGTGAGTTCAAGGCCAGCCTGGTCTACATAGTTCCAGGACAGCTGGGGCTACAGGAAGACCCTGCTTCAAAAAAAGACAAAAAATAAATAAATAAATAAATAAAATAACAGAAGAGCCTTCTGACCAGTACACATTTAAAAAATATTTATTATTTTTACTTTATGTATATGAATGTATTGCCTGCATGTATGTGAGTGCACCCATGTCGTGGAATGCTGAGGAGGTCAGAAGAGGGCTTCGGATTCCCCTGGAACTGGAGTTAAGGACGGTTTGTGCTGAGAATCGAACCCGGGTTCTCTGTAAGAGCAGTCAGTGCTCTTAACCGCTGAGCCATCTCTCCAGCCCCAGTACATATTCTTATGCTACTGATCCACTGTTAGAAATGCAGGGGGTTTTGCTTGGTTTTGATGGTTTCGTTCGTTTGGATTGACTTTTCCAAAAACAAAGATAAAGTTGTTCTTTATGAACACTTTTCCTGACTGCCAAAGCTATACATTTACAGCGAGGCACCAGGAGCGCTGCCGGAAAAGTCACCTTAAAAGATGCTAGAAAGCTGTAACCTTCATACTTGGGAAAGTAAGGCAAGAGGATTGCCACGACCTCGAGGCTAGGTTGGGCTACAGAGTGAGTTCCAGACTATTTTCCAACTGAAGCCCCAGGATATGTCTGGGCTGGCTTGCATGCTGGGGTGCAGTTGATGGGCTTATTTTTATCATTTTAAATTTTTCATTGTGTTCCACCAGGGGGCAGATAGACGCAACAGATTAACCCCCGACTTCTGGGCGTCCCGCATCTTTTCAAAGGGAGTTGAGATTCAAGGACTTAAAAGAGCGTGCAATGCTGACAAGGCTCTAGGACCTTTAGCGCAAACTCCAGAAGGCTTCTTTGAATAGTGCCTCAATTATTTGTCAATTTCTAGCGCCAAGCCCCATCTCCACCCTTCTAAGCAAAATTCTTTTCCCTTTCCTCTAATCCCTCTAAAATTCCTCTTTCGAAGAGGCAGGGGGAACCGCGAGGGTGACTGGCCCGCCGAGGTTGGGAAGGAAGCGCCAGAACCGCGGGACAGGCCTCTTGGAGGGCGAGAGGGGTGGAGCCGCGAGGAGGGCCGCCTCTCTTCTTTCCCCGGGCCTGGGCGGAGAGGGAGGAAAACTTCCTGGCTGGAGCTCCTGCGGTTCTGCCTGCCAGTCCTCCAATCCCTCCTACCAGCGCTGGCTCTTCCCCACCCCTCTCCCGGCACCCCTAGTGTCCGCCATGGCCAAAGCCTACGACCACCTCTTCAAATTGCTGCTGATTGGGGACTCAGGGGTGGGCAAGACTTGTCTGATCATTCGTTTTGCAGAGGACAACTTCAACAGCACTTACATCTCCACCATCGGTGAGCCCACTGGCAGTATCCCAGACCCCGATCCCCCCCTACGTCCCCATCCACGGGCTCCGGGATAACTAAGGACCCCACATTTTGGTCCTCCTAGAGTGAGACACCCAACTTCCAGTCTTCCTGTCCCATCCCGCATACACATCTCTATACAGCACTCCAGCTTCAAACCTCTCTGAGGCCCTAGGTATACCCAGATGCTGCCAGCTCCCCTTTTCTTCATACTGTCTTCCTAGTCTCCCCAAATTCACAGGGATCCTTGTCTTTCCCCTCTGGCTCCTCCTTCCTCACCCATCCGAAAAAACTCTAGATTCACTCTCCACTTCTGTTTTCCTCTGACTCCAAATTCTGTTGCCTCTTTCTGTCCCACTGGGCTTCAGGCTGTCCTCTGTAACCACTCCACCCTTAAATCTGTTCAGTTCTCCCTCCCCTCAACAGGGTGCTGCAGAGAGTGGCTGGGTGGACTGAAGAGTGTCTCTGTGTGTTCCCTGGTGAGGAAGGCGAAAATGAGGGGACTTTTGGGGTCCCTGAGTCAGTGTGGTGACTCAGCCTTCTCTCTGGGCACCCCAGGAGACCTGGGAGATGTGCCTAAGTTTCTAATAAGAGGAGAACTCTCTCCCCTCCTCCCTTTCCCTTCCCTCACCTCCTCTAGCTTGAGAAATAAAACGGAGAATCTCAAGACAAGTATGGTGACAAAGGGGAAAGAAAAGTGTTCCTCCAATTAATTCTCAAGAGGAATTCTACTGAGTCCCAGACTCTGTCATTTCTAAAGCTGGCCCGCTAGTTAATTTGCATAGACTGACACCAACTGGCTTTTCCTTACTCTTTACCCTAAAGTGGGGGGTGGGGTGGGAGGGGAGAACAGAAGAAAAGAATGAAAGTAACATTTGGGTAGGGTAGAGACTGATGTGAAAGTTCCTAGTTGGCATGTCTTTAAAACCCCCAAAGATTTTTTTTTTTAATTGCATCTTTCCCCACTAAATGCCTAAAATCTAAGGAAAAACAGTATGTTTGCCATATGAATACAGCTTTAGAAAAATTCCCCCAGTTGTAGGGCTCCATCAAGGCTGCTGCCCTAGTGCCTGCTCTGCCCTGCAGCATTACTTGCATTGTCTCCTGTTTCTCCCACCACACTTTCACATACACATACACATTCACATGGCTTCAGTGCATACCTTCCACCCCTAGGAATTGATTTCAAGATTCGAACTGTGGATATAGAGGGAAAGAAGATCAAGCTGCAAGTCTGGTGAGTGGATTGTTCAGGTGACCCAACCAGACTTCCCGATTTACCTTTTCCTACCCTCCACCCTTTATTTCTACTTTCTTCTTCCCTTCCTCCCTTCCATTTTCTTTGTTTTTAAATTTTGGTTTTTGCTTTTTGGGGGGGGAGGGTGTTGAGACAGGGTTTCCCTGTACCCCTGACTGGCCTAGAACTCGTTATGTAGGCCAGGGTGGCCTCAATCTCACAGAGATCCACCTGCCTCTGCCTCCTGATTGCTGGGATTAAAGGCATGCATCACCACACCTGGCCTTGTCTTTTCAAGACAAGATCTAATGTAGCACAGGTGGCCTCAAACTCAGTTGAGAATGACCTGCCTCTCTCTCCCAAGTGCTGGGATTACAGGTGTGCGTAGACATGTGCTACCATGTCAGTCTTTCTATTTGCTTCATTTCTTTCCCTTTCCTTTTGTCTCCTAGTAGGTCTCCTAATTATCCCTCTTGCTTACTCAGTTGTCTTTCCATGTCTCTTCCTGGCATCCCACTTTGCGACTTCTGTTTCCCCTTGAACTTGAAAACAAATGTCTGTTGAGCTATAATGTGGAAAAGACAAGTAGTAGAATTAAGAACTTGACTCCCAGGCTAGCGCTCACTCTAAATTTCAGACAGTGCAGTCCATGTTCAGAGATGTGACCTGTCTGAAGGATGCTGACAGTGTGGAGGTATCAGAAGGGACATTAAGAGATGACAGGAAGAAGCAAAGGAAGGTCTAAATCCTAGCTATTGCTTACCTTCCTCTGACCTTCATTAGTTACTCAGACTCCCTATCATATTTGTTTCATTTGTAAAAAGAGAACAGTGAAACATGTTTCACAAAGATACAGTGAGAGTTAGATAGATTGATATATACACACATAAAGTGATACTTAGACAGTGCTTGGCATCAGTGAGTAAACAGGAGGCATCCTGTTTCTCTGAAGGGCAACGCAATGTCCTTGGTCTCTTTTCCTCTTTACTATGTCCTGACTCTTTTCCTTTCAGCCCCACTACTGTCACAAAAGCTGACTTCTTAGGGAAGGACTTCCCTTGGTGACTCCTGGCTTCTCTTTCACCCTATGAAAACTTCTTCTTCCTCAGGGACACAGCTGGCCAAGAGCGATTCAAGACAATAACTACTGCCTATTACCGTGGAGCCATGGTATGAGGTGTGGGTCTGGACAAGGGCTGAGGGCCTAGAATATAGGTTTATGAGTACAGAGGGTCCAGGAGATGGGATAAGGGAGAATGAAGGAGAGCATAGTTCAGGTTGCAGAGAGCCACATGTGGGCACATGGCCCATCTTTAGACCTATAGGTGGGGCTTACAGGGTAGTAGAAACCCAAATGGGAATATGGTCCAAGGTAAACTATGCCATCCCCTAGGGCATTATCCTAGTATACGACATCACAGATGAGAAATCCTTTGAGAATATTCAGAACTGGATGAAAAGCATCAAGGAGGTAAGACCCCTCCAAAAGAGATGGGGACTTAAGTAGATACTGGAAGATGGTGGGGACATGAGAATGGCAAGATTTGACCCCCCCCCCTTTTGTTAACAAAGTGTTTTATTTTGAATTACATGTGTGTATGTCTGTGTGTAGACATGTGCATGTGAGTGCAGGTGCCCATGGAGGCCAGAGGAATTGAATCCCCTGGAGCTGTAGTTACAGGTGGTTGTGAGCTGCCCCATGTGAGTGCTGGGAACCAAACTCCAGTCCTCTGCAGTACACTCAACCACTGAGTCATCTCTCCAACTCTCATGTCTTTTCCCCTTTTTAAGACAGGGCATCACTCTGTAACCCTAGCTGGTATGGAATTTATTATGTAACTCAGACTGGCCTTGAATTTACACCAATCCTCCCGCCTCAGCTTCTCAAGTTCTGGGATAATATAATAGCCACCTCCAGCACCCAACTTTTACTTGTCTTACTCTTCTGTCCCCAGAATGCCTCAACTGGAGTGGAGCGCCTTCTCCTGGGGAACAAGTGTGATATGGAGGCTAAGAGGAAGGTGCAGAGGGAGCAGGCTGACAAGGTGAGGGCCAGAGGGACAGGCTGGGTGATGGATGTTGGCTGGCAGGGATGGGTGTACCAGCATGAGGTGGGATTGCAGAGGATGGTTGCTTCTGCCCTTTATCCAGCTTTCTCCTTCCCACCTAACCCCCCACCCCCACCCCACAGTTGGCTCGAGAGCATGGAATCCGGTTTTTTGAAACAAGTGCCAAATCCAGTATGAATGTGGACGAGGTGAGACTCACCCTCCAAGAGATAAGAAAGCTGATGGAACTATCCTTCCCTCCAGTTTGTTCTAACCAATCTCCTCCCTTTAGGCTTTCAGTTCCCTGGCTAGGGACATCTTGCTCAAGTCAGGAGGCCGGAAATCAGTAAGTTGGTTCTGCTTGGTTAGGTACCATTGTGTGTGTGTGTGTGTGTGTGTGTGTGTGTGCGTGCGTGCGCAGAGGGGGTAAAAACTGAGGAGTGGTATAGTGACACATACCTATAATCCCAGCACTGGGAGGTAGTGACAGAAGGATCAGGAGTTCAAGGTCATCCTGTCTAAAAAGAAGCCAACTGAGGAAAGGACCAATGCCAAGATGATGTCCCATGAGGGTGGGTCATGTTGAATAACAGTCTCATACTCCAGCCAGCCCCTTACACATCTGACCTTTGCACCCTTCTGGTTCTAGGGAAACAACAACAAGCCCCCAAGCTCTGACCTGAAAACATCTGACAAGAACAGCAACAAGTGCTCCCTGGGCTGAGGACTTTTTTACCTCCCCACCCTAAGCCTGGAAGCTGAACCTGAGAGGGAGGTGGGCTGGGGGGCGCTGTACAAGGGAGGAGCAGTGGCAGGGCTGGGAGGGACAGATGAATCTTTAAGGAGAATGTAGAGAAAATGGAGGAGAAAAGGAAAGAAAAGAAGAAGGGCAGGGGGAAGAAAGGGGAAAGAATTAAGGATGTGAAAGGTAAAGAGGATGAGAGGGAAGAAGAAAGGAAGAATAGATGGTCTCAGGTCTTGGACTGTCCTTGGGGTTTAACGTCAAACATTAATGTAAATATATTGATTTACTCTGTTAGTGGATCAGGTTTTAGGGCTCTGAGAGGCCGGCTCAGCACCCCTCTGAAGGTTTCTCTGCAGTCTTTGTCAGTATTAAAGGCTGCTGTTTTGCACAAATGTTTCATTTGCTTTACTTTCATTACTGTCAGAATTGTGCTCCATTCAAACCCAATTTTTGTAACTCCAAGATGCTGGTTCACCTGAATCTGACTGGGTACCTCTATCCCTGTCCTTGCTCTTTAGTGTTGAAAACAGCAAGAAGGAGCAGCCTGAAGGATGGGCATCCTCTTCCCCCACGAACTTAGGTTGTCAGGCTTGTACCACAAGCCCTTTTACCTGCTGAGCCATCTCACCTGTCATGTCATCCTTTGGTTTTGTGAAACTAGTTCTCACAATGTAGACTAGGCTGGCCTTGAACTTGCAGTGACCCGCCTGCTTCTGCATCCCAAGTGCTTAGACAAAAATAGTACTTAAGCGGGGCGTGGTGGTGCATGCCTTTAATCCCAGCACTTGGGAGGCAGGGTCAGCCTGTACTACATAGTGAGTTCCAGGACAGCTGGGGCTACAAGGGGACCCTGTCTCAAAAAGAAAAAAAAAAAAAAAAAAAAAATAGCACTTAACTCCTGAAATACAAAGATGCCAAAACTATTGACAGGAAAAAATACAACCAAAAAATTCAGGCTAGATACACTGCCTCCTTATCTACACATTGCCCTCTTTTACATTTGCTCAACATTTTTCTTTCGCCAGCATAGCTTAGACTGGCCTCATAGCAATTCTCACCTCAGCTATGTAGCCCAACCTGGACTACATAATGAGATGTTGTCTCAACAAAAAACATAAAAACACAGATTGAGAAAATAGCTCACCAAGTAAAAGTACTAGCCATACAAGCCTGATGTAAGTATCTATAATCCCAGCACTCCTTCACTGAGATGAGAGGTAGAGACGGGAGAATTGCCAGCAAGCTCACAGGCCAGCTAGGCTGGCCTACACAGCACAACTGCAGAAACAAGAGAGACCCTGCTTTAACAAGGTGAAAGGAAAGACTCCTGAAAGTTGTCCTCTGAGCTCCAGAAGCACACGGTAGCATGAAAGCACCTGCATTAATACACACATGCACATACATAATGAAACAAAAATAAATTAAACAATTACTTTTAAGAAAAATAATAAATCCTAAAAAGAAAAATCATATCCCTTCAAGGCTAGGGATCAAATCTCAAATCTGGGATGTTGCAATATGATAAGAAAGTTCCAGTCCTCCATGAGAATACGACGTTTTTTTGTTTTTTGTTTTTTTTTTGAGACAAGATCTTCCTGTAGCCCCAACTGCCTGAAATTCATTATGTAGACCAGGTTGGCCTTGAACTCACAGAGATTGGCCTGCTTCTGCCTCCGGAGTGCTAGGATTAAAGGCATGGGCCACCATACCCAGCGAGAATACAACTTCTAATGGTACTTTTTTTTTTTTTGTCTAAATCACATCTGGCATTTTCTTTTCTTTCTTTTGGTCTTTTTTTTTTTTTGAGTCAGGATCTCATGAAACCTAGGGTGGCCTGAATATAGTACTCAGGAGGTACAGGTACTATAAGATCAAGGCCAACCAGAACTAAATATCAAGACCCTGTCTCAAAAACTAACAAGAAGAAGACTTAATGACTCCGGAGGAAGGAAATTGACAGACATGTTCATCACATCCTAAGGCAGCTATTTTGGGGCCTTTGCTGTTATTGTTGAGACAGGGTCTCCTGCTAGCACCAGTTGGCCTGGAACTTGCTATGTAAACCAGGCTGGCCTCAATATCACAGAGTTCCACCTGCCTCTCTGCTTCCCAGGTACTGGAATCAAAGGCAAGCACCACCACACCCAGCCCAGTGCATATTTTTAAATCCATTTTCTAGTTTCAGAGCAAGAGATATCACTCAGTTGTTTATAATGTTATGTTAAGTGAAATCTTACAAGATCTGCAAGGTCCTAGTGGAATATGCTTGTAATTTCCATACTGGGGAGTAGAGGCAGGAGAACTGCCACAAGTTTGAGGTCAGCCTAAGCTATATAATGAGTTCAAGGCCAGCCTAGATTACAGAGTGAGACCCTGTATCAAAAAAAAGGGGGGGGGGACAACAGCAATAACAAGCACCTTACAAGATCTGTCACAGTTTGCCATAAGACAAGGTAAGTAAGGAGTAACAAATACTAGCAGATCATGCACAAAACTTCAGTCATACTTAGACTGGTAGAAGGGAGGACACATAACATACAACTTACTTTATATAACATGCAAATATATGCATATACAACTTTATCTTTTTTGTTTTTGTTTTTGTTTTTTTTTGTTTTTTTTTTTTGAGACAGGGTCTCCCTGTAGCCCCAGCTATCCTGGAACTCACTATGTAGCCCAGCTGGCCTGAAACTTGTTATGTAGACCAGGCTGGCCTAGATCTCAGAGATCCGCCTCCTGAGTGCTGGGATTAAAGGAGTGTGCCAGCATGACCTGCTAGTTTTTTAATTAATTAATTAGGTCTTTTTAAGACAGGGTCTCCCTCTAGCCCCACCTGGCCTGAAACTCTATGTAGACCAGGCTGGCCTTGAATTCACAGAGATCCACCTGCCTCTGCCTCCTGAGTCCTGGGATTAAAGGTGTTTGCCCAGCTAATTAATTTATTTTGATTTTATATGTATGAGTGTTTAGCTAGCATGTATGTAAGTGTACCTGTGTGTGTAATGCCCATGGAGCCAGAAGAGGGTGTCAGATACCCTGGAACTGCAGTTATTAGCTGTCATGTGGGTGTTGGTGCTCTGTAAGAGCAGCCAGTGTGCTTTTAACTGCTGAGATATCTCCAGCCCCACTGCAGTTTTGAGCATATAGAAAATTTAAACAGATGAGGATGAAAGCAGACACAAATCTTCAACCTGTCTGTTGAAAGCTTAAGCTCAAGCCTGTTCTGCCCACTATGTTGATGGTAAGTCACACTTTCTGGATTTACAAAACAGGGATATATAGAAACCTGGAAGTGACAGTTCACACATTATCCAAGCATTTGGGAAGCAGAGGCAGGAGGATCAAAGAACTCAAGTCTATGGGGCTGGAGAGGTGGCTCAGTGGTTAAGAGCACTAGCTGCTCTTGCAGAAGACCCAGGTTCAATTTCCAGCACCCACATGGCAGCTAACAACCTTCCATAACTCCAGTTCCAAGGGATCCAATGCCCTCTTCTGACCTCCGTGGGCAGTGCATGACATGGGTGCACTTACTTGCAGGCAATATACTCATATACATAAAATTAATGTAGTTTTTTTTTTTAAAAAAGTTGGGCGTGGTGGTGCACGCTTTTAATCCCAGCAGTCGGGAGGCAGAGGCAGGTGGATCTCTGTGAGTTCAAGGCCAGCCTGGTCTACATAGTGACTTCCAGGACAGCTGGGGTTACAGGGAGACCCTGTCTCAAAGAGACAAAAAAAAAAAAAAAAAAAAAAAAAAAAAAAAAACCCTCAAGTCTAGCCTCAGTTACCTAACAGTTTTGCTGCATTGCAAGCTCAAGGCCAGCCTAGACTACACAAGACCTAGTTTCAAAAAACCAAAGAACTGTTTTTTTCCCAAAAGCATGATAGAAATGTGAGGCAGGGACAGGGTGTAGTTCAGTGATAGAGAGCTTGCCTTAGTATGGGCCAGACTGTGGGTTCCAGTCTCTAGCACAGCAAAAAATATTGTTTTTGAAAAATTGATTTATTTTGACAGGCTTTCTCTAGTCCCAGACTGCCTGGAAGAAATCACTATGTGGGCCAGGCTGGCTTCTATCTCACGGACATCTGCCTGCCTCTGCTTCCTGTGGTCTGGGATTAAAGGCCACCATTACACCTGGCAAAAAAAAAGAAAAATCTTTTGTTGAGACAGGGTCTCCCTGGTCTGGAGATTTGTCAGCTGGTCTGGAATTTGCTAGGTAGACCAGGCTGACATTCATCTCACAGAAATCCACCTGCTGGGATTAAAGCATGCACCATCACGCCTTGCACAGCAAAAAAAAAAAAAAAAAAATTTTTTTTTTTAAAATTTGAGACAGGGTCTCCCTGTAGCCCCAGCTGTCCTGAAACTCACTATGTAGACCAGGCTGGCCTTGAACTCACAGAGATCCGCCAGACTCTGTCTCCCAAGTGCTGGGACCTCAGGCGTGCAGCCACCACGCCCGGCAGCAAAAATTTTTTAAAGTGAAGCAACATTATGGAGAGGACATTTTCGTACACACTTCATTTCCATCTTGCAGAAGATGGGAAATGCACACTAGCATTTCTGTTTTACACGGACCACTGAGTCAGGTACTGTCTTAAAGTCATGTGACTTGGTAAGTACATGAATGTAGTTCCAACATCCTCAACTTAAAACATCTCTCTTGCTGGGTGTGGGGACACGTGGGGAATTGATGCCGTTCTATGTACAGCGGTGCGGGAGTCCACGCACTTGGATGCAGTTTCCCTCCCTCCGTAGAATGCCAACCTAGGTTCTCCTCGAGGCCGATCCGGGTGGAAGGGCTGAAGGCGGAAGGTGGCAAAGAGGTTAGCGCCTAACGGTGAGCTCCAACTTCTAAGGAAGGCCCAGCCTGTAGGCACAGTGCTGCTTTTAAGTTTCCTGATCACGTGGCCCAGAATGGGCAAACAGTCGACAGCAGGGAGCGGAGAACCGAGAAGTCACTGGAGCCTCGGCTGCAGCCCTTACCTCGCGCTCCGCAAACACTACGAAGACCACAGTGCCGCGGGGCGCCCAGCCAGTGAGCCGCGAGCTGCTGCGCAAACGCACTGAGAGCCGGTGGCCTCAGCCCGGGTGACTACGGGCCCCAGCAAGCGCTGCGCCTGCACCTGGACCCGGAGGCTGCGGGAGCGAGATGGCGGCTCCGGAGCCCGTCGCCCCCCAGGGCCGTGCGTGTTAGGTCTTGCCCTCCAGCTCTTTTCCAACCCCCCCCCCCGTACACCCGGAAAGAACTCGCGTTTCTAGGCAACAGTCCCACACGGATTGTTCTCGCTGTGGCCTTGGGCTCGTTCTCATAGCGCCCTGGAGGCCCTGAGAGGGAAGCCTGACTTGGTGCTGCAGCTGGAACCCGCGGCTAGGTGAACGGGTCCTTCGGCAGCGACAAGTGCGACACTGACCGCCCCATGCCCGCGGGCGCGGGGAGGCGTTGCCGCCCCCAGGGCAGCCACCTCTGCTGGTTGCTGTGCGCTTTCACCTTAAAGCTCTGGTAAGTAGGGACTGAAGGAGGAAAAGGGTGCGCGAGGACCCTATCCATCGTCCACGCCCCAGGAATAGGGGGACCATGTCCATGGACATCCAAAGTGGGTGTGCATTTTTTTTCTGAATTCTGACTTTGCCCTTCCTTCATTCCCACCCCCACCCCCCCCCACCCCGCAGCGAAGCAGAGGCTCCTGTACATGATGAGAAGCAGTCAGGTGGGTGATTGTTCCGGGAGCCCTACACTATAGGTTGTGTTTAGTATCTTCCTGATATACCTAGAGCCCACATGGAGAAAGTCGGTACCACATGGAATGAGGGCAAGCGTTGTGATGGGAAGCAAATGGGTAGAGCCATTAGGAGAAATGTTTTCTGAATGGTCTTGGGCTGGCATTTCTCTCCCCTTTTAGTGAGCACCTCAACTTTGCCATGCTGGCTGGTGGAAGAGTTTGTGGTCGCAGAAGAGTGTACTCCGTGTTCTAATTTCCAGATTGTGAGTATTTGTTTTCTCCCCTTTTTTCTCACATCCAACGAGTTCCCCCAAGACTCATTAAGCATGTCTTTGTGGGCCTTTCTTCTTCCCTTAGTATAAGTATATGTTCAAACCTGAACTTGATTGCACAAGTGGAGGTCCACATGTGGAGGTCAAAGGACAACTTGAAATTAGTACTGTACTTCGACTATGTGGGGGGGGGGATTGAACTCAGGTTGTTAGAATTGGCTGAAAGGGCCCTTACCCATTGAGCCAGCCTTTAAATTTGAACTTATCTTCTCTTTGAAAACATGCCCCTTTCTTCCCAAGTTAATGACATTATCCAGCTGATAACTGTGCTCTATTCATACTTGAATACAGTCCACGCTGTCACTTCTCCTTTCCTCTCCTAGATTGTTTCCTTCCTAATCATGCCACAACCATTTCTACCATACATATCAGAATTCCTTAGCTCTCTGTTGCGCATCATTTCTGGCCCTGGCACCTATCCCTTCTAAATGGCAGATCTATTTCTTAGGGTACGTCTTCCTAACATATGCTTTTGATCCTTTTCTTCTGGTAGAAAACCACCCCTGAGTGTGGTTCCACAGGGTATGTGGAGAAAATCACATGCAGCTCATCTAAAATGAATAGATTCAAAAGGTAAGGACTGCTTCTCTACCTTAAGATAGACTCTTCTAATCCTGTGATTTTGGTAGCCATCTCTTGGTCTAGGTATAGCATGGCATACTGGAAAGAAGAGAGACTTTGAGCCAAATGACTCCTACTTCCTAGCCCTACTCTTTAGCACTGGTATTGGCTGTATGTTCTCCTCAATACATTTGATCAGAGACTGGGAATGTAATTCATTATTAGAGTACTTGCCTAGTATGTTGGAGGCCCTGGGAATGTTCAATCCACAACATTAAAAAAAAAAAACAGTTAAGGGCTGGGCTACGGCTCAGTAGTAGAGTGCTTGCCTAGCATGTGTGAGGTCTTAGGTTTAGTCCAAAAACAAAAGAGCTGGTGAGATGGCTCAGTGGGTAAAGGCATTTGCCATCAAACCAAATAACCTAGTTTGATCTCTAGGACCTACATGGTGGATGGAGAGAACCAGTTCCTTCCCAGAAGTTGTCCTCTGATCCATCCCCTCCCCCACGACAGGTGCTTTGGCATGTATACCACCAAACTCACAAAGATCCACCTGCCTTTGCCTCCCAAGTGCTGGGATTAAAGGCATGCGCCACCACGCCCGGCCCAAAATATAATTTTTTAAAAGAGGAAAAAGAAAAGTTGGGCATACTATTGCATGCTTGGAATCCCAGTACTCAGGAAGTAGAAGCAGGAGAATCAGGAGTTCATGGCCAGACTATGCTACTTGAGACCTTATCTCAAAAAAAAAAGTATAATTACATTGGTTAAAGCTAGCTCTGTTTATCTCCCCAGAGACTGAAGACATATAGGACTACCTCTGGTTTTCTCTTTTCGGTATCACCTTGGTTAAGCTGAAATACAGGATGATTACTGTCTGACTTTTCTCTGGAATGACTTGTCCTTTTCTACCCTCAGCTGCCGTTCAGCTCTGATGGAGCAACACTTATTCTGGAAGTTTGAAGGGGCTGTGGTCAGTGTGGCTGTGTTCTTTGCTTGCCTTGTTATCATTCGTCAGCGGCAACTGGACAGAAAGGCTCTGGAAAAGGTCCGGAAGCAAATTGAGTCCATATAGCTGCATTCCACTCTATTATTCAGGGTCTGCAAACCATGTCTCAAACAGAGAAGTGCCGTGAGGACTGATTCCACACAGTTTTTGAAGCCTTGTGCTGGTAGCCCCTTTCCCTGGCTTCCTTTTCCAAATCATTAATGAGCACAATAAAAAGACTGAAATCCAGCTGGGCATGGTGGTACACACTTGTAATCTCAGCACTCAGGAGACTGAGGCAGGAGAATCCTGGTTAAGTATGAAGACAGATTGAATCATCACACAGCAAGACCCTGTCTCAAAACAAAAAACCCCCAGGCAATATATAAATAAATAAATAAATAAATAAATAAAGGAGTAAAATCATTTCCTTCCCTATAATAATTTGGTTTGGGAAAAGAAGTCATTCATGGAGGCAATGATAGGAAGGGAATGGCAAGCCAGCAAGTGCCTACCTTCCCCATCATTTACTTCTTACTTAAAATTTCTGGACTGACAAGATGGTTCATCAACTAAAAGTGCTTGCTACATAGGCTTGACAACCTGAGTTCAATCCCCACAACCCATGGTGGGAGGAGAGAACCTGAAAGTCATCCTCTGCCTGCCACACATATATTGTAGCATACGTATGCCTATACCCCACTCACATCCTACACACAATAATAAATAAAAATAATAAAATAGAGGACTGGAGAGATGGCTCAGCAGTTAAGAGTACTGACCGTTCTTGCAGAGGACCCAGGTTCAGTTCCCAGCACCTACATGGCAGCTAACAATTGTCCATAACTCCAGCTCCATGGGATCCTATGCCTTCTTCTGACATGACATGGCTACACTAATACATATGCAGACAATACACTCATAGACATAAAAATAATACTTAAAAAGTAAGCCAGGTGTGGTGGCACACACCTTTAATCCCAGCACTTGGGAGGCGGGGGCAGATGGATCTCTGAGTTCAAGGCCAGCCTGATCTACATAGTGAGTTCCAGGTCAGCTGTCTCAAAAACACCAAATAAATAAATAAAAATAATATATCCTTAACATTTTTCTAAGGTGGGTAGGGTAGCACACACTTGTAGTCCTAGCACTTGGTAGAGGGATCAGGAGTTTGAGACTAGCCTGTGCTACCCAGTGAGAACTTGTCTGAAACAATTTCTGGAATAAAACTTTAGCTTGAAAATTTATTTCTCAGTCAAAACTTATTTCCACTCAACCCTTCCCCCAAAGAAGAAATAAAATCACAAATATATAGCAAGTATCTGAGGTCCCTCTCAAATAGGCAGACTGGGCCTAGGCACAGAAATCTAGTGTCCTGAGTGAGTCAGAATTAGGGGTACAGACAACCTCGATGGGAGTTCAGGGGAAACAGCCACAGAAAAGCCCTGGACCCCAGTGTGACTGGCCAGTGTTCAGCTTACATCTCATCCGCATGCAACACTGTCCTGATTTGCCTGCTGGATTCAGACTTCACTCCAGTCTTTAGCTGTGTCTTTGTTGAACCCTTTGCAGTCTGGGCTCCAGGTGGCCTCCCCAATTTGGACTTTACCACTGGAGTCTCTAGGCTTTCTGTCATGTCCTTGTGAGTCAAGATATTTCTGGAAATCACTGTGAGGAAAAAGTACAGTGGGATGGGACAAAAACTCTCTCCCACTTGATTTTTGTGGCAAATAGAGTCCTCTGGCTCACCGGGGGTGGGGGATTAGGGTGTAGTGGTGTGTGTGTTTCTTCTGTACCCTTGTCTCTCACCTCCATGAGGCTGATAATCCTCAGGCCCAGCTTCTGATAGACCCTGAAAGGGGCTGAAGCTAGGCAGGATGATGAGAGCCAGGGAAAAAAGCAGAATCTGGAAGGAAGCAAGATGACATTTGGGCTTTGAGCACAACAGACAGAGGAGCTTAGGGCAGAATAAATAGAGGGCAGTTATGGTTATTAGGGTTTGAAAAACCGGGCTGGGTAGTGGGGTGTTAGAAGAGTGGAGGATGGCAGAGGTTTGGGAAGAGGGACAGCAGACAGCCTGATGGTACCAGAACACAGGTGCTGGTCTGAGCAGCTTTGTTGGAGGTTTGGGAGATGAGCGCCTGTAGCTGGTGGAGCTGAGCCACCAAGGAGCTAGGGAAAGGAGAATGAAGAGTTAATACCTTCTGGGTACCAGGGCCCAAGAGTGGCTCCCCTGTGTGCTGCATCCTCCCTGCCCCTGCCCCCCTCATGACAACTATGCTTCCACTCACATATTCCGCCTCTCCAGCTCCTGGACTTTTTTCTGTAGTTCCTGGTTCTGTGCTGAACAGGCTGCCACTCTAGGGAGTGTGGAGAAGTAGAGCAGGCTTGGCAGAGTCTCTCTCTTTTCTTAAAATATTTTATTATTTTTTTGTTTTGCCTGCATGTATGTAAGTGCAACACATGCATGCAATGCCTACGGAGAGTATTTTATCCCCTGGGACTGAAGCTACAAACTGTTAGTTGCCATGTGGGTGCTGGGAACTGAACCTGGGTCTGCCACAAGAACAACCAGTGCTCCTAACTGCTGAGCTAGTTCTCCAATCCCAACAGTCTCTTAACTTGCTTGCCTTGGTGAGCCGGGCTAGACATGGCCCCCAGGAAGCAGAAATGTGAGCCAAACATACCTGCTCTCTAGCCCATCAATGTATTCTTTCTTCCGCCGCCGGCTGTCCTGAGCTGACTGCTTGTTGCGGATTTTTCTCCTGACCTTCTTGAGAACTCTCTCCTCTGCCTGCAGGTCCAAGGTGTTCAATCCTAGGCCCTTGGCCTCTCACAACTCCCCAACTCCCGCCTAGGATCCTGGCTCCTTAGTAGTGGAGCCCCTATGATGGGACACCCTTTGGGGAAGGGCGTTACCTTGGTAAGGGGCAGGTGAGAGGGCAGAGAAACCCCTTCTTGCCCCAGCAGACGCTTCTCCTCATCTGTCAGGAACAGTGTTTGGCAGGGCAGCTGGGAGGGGTGGCAAGAGAAGATGGGGGTGGTCACCTGCTTCCAGCACCCAGGCTGCCCTTTGACCCCCAGCATACTTTTTGAACGGGCTTTGTTTGCACTGAGTATAAGGTGAAGTCAGGTCAGGTGTGCAAAGCTCGTTCAGACAGGTTCTGGGTCAAACCACAGAGCCCTCCTAAAGCTGAGTGCAGTTTTTGTCCAGACATAGGATCTTGGCACTCTGAACATGCTTGAGAGGGCCTGTGTAGGCCCTTCTCCTTAGGACCTTACAGCAATCAGAAAAGGACTTAGCCAGGCGTGGTGGCACATACTTTAATCCCAGCACTTGTGAGGCAGAGGCAGGCAGGTCTCTGTGAGTCCAAGGCCAGCCTGGTCTACATAGGGCCAGCTGGGGCTACAGAGAGACCCTGTCCCAAAAAAGACAAAGACGAAAAAAAAGGGACTTGTATGAACTCACTATGATGGGTCTTGGGGTTTTGTTGAATTTCTTTATGCTAAGTGATTCAGCCATTAACTACCATTTGGTAAAATAGTCCATTGCCTGTCATCCCCAGGGAATGGTCCATCATCCCCACGGTCTAAGCTCCATGTATCAGGCCAAGCTGTCCACTTTTAGACAAGGAACTCTCAGGGACAGCCAGGCCAACTTCTCAAGCAAATTGTGTAGAGGGTAAATGCTGTCTGGTTAAACTGAGCCCATCAGCTGAGGAACTCACTAGCATTCCTTTCTTTTCTTTACATTCATTTATTTATTTATTGTGTATGTGTGTCTGTCCATGTATGTGGGGGAGTGCCACAGTACATATGTGGGATCACAGGACAACTTTCCGGAGTTAACTCCTTCTACCACGTGGGTCCCAGGGATCAAACTCCAGTTGTCAGACTTGGCAGAAAAAGCTTGTATCTTTATCTTCTGAGCCATCTTGCTGTTCCTAGTGTTCCTTTTTGAAATATTTATGCTTTACTTTTTCTGTTTATTTGGTTTGTTTTTTGTTTTGGGGTTTTTTTTTTTTTTTGGTCTTTTTGAGACAGGGTCTCCCTGTAGCCCTAGTTGACCTGGATTCGCTATGGAGACCAGGCTGGCCTCGAACTCACAGAGATCCACCTGCCTCTGCCTCCCGAGTGCTGGGATTAAAGGTGTGGTCCACCACACCTGGCTTTGGTTTGGGTTTTTTGAGACAGAGTGTCACTATGGAACTCTGGCTTAGAACTCACTTTATGAATAAGGTTGGCCTTGAATTTGTGGTGATCTTTCTGCCTCTGCCTTCCAAGTGCAGGGATTTCAAGTGCCATGCCTGGCTGCTTTCTTTTATTTTTGAGACAGGGTCATGCTATATGTGGTCCATGTTGGCCTTGAACTTGTGGTGATCCACCTGCCTCCACGTCTCCTGAGTGTTGGGATTACAGTTGTGTGCCACCACACCCAGTTTATGCTTTACTTTGTAATTAGTTCCAGCACTTGGGAGGCAGAGGCAGGTGGATCTCTATGAGTTCCAGGCCAGCCTGTCTACATTGTGAGACCCTATCTAAAATACATACATATATACATACATACATACATACATACATACATATAAATAAAGTAATCTAGTGTTTTGGGCTGTCAAGATGGCTCAGGAGATAAAGCACTTGCCACACAAAACTGACAATCTGAGCTGGGTGTGGTGGTGCATGTCTTTAGTCCCAGCATTTGGGAGACAGAGGCAGAATCTCTGTGAGTTCAAGGCCAGCCTTGTCTACATAGTGAGTTCCAGGCCAGCTGGGGCTACAGGGAGACCCTGTCTCAAAAAGACCAAAAAAACAAAAAAAAAACCCAAAATCTGACAATCTGAGTTTAATCCCTGAAACCCATGTAAAGGTGGAAGGAAAGAAACAATGGCACCAAGTTGTCCTCTAATGTGCCCCTCCTGTCACTGCATCATATACATTTTTTTTTTTTTTGGTCTTTTTGAGACAGGGTCTTCCTGTAGCTCCAGTTGTCCTGGAACCTGGAACTCCCTATTTAGACCCAGCTGCCCTT